AGAAGAGAACAGGGAAACGCTCCTGAAAAGTGAACCCACATTTCAAACTCCTGAAACCCCAAGAAGCTCCGTATCCGTATTCCATTTAGACCAATTTGAGAACCTCTGGCTGAATGTTCCTAGTTACTAAAGTCATGGTGAGAACTAGGCTAGACTGCTCTGGATTACTTGCCTGTGGAATTACGCTGGCCGAAAATACAAATGTCTACAAGCCACACCAAGGACCACACTTCTACTTTCTACCATTAGGCTTGGTTGACATAAGACACCCCCACTTAAAACAAATCATTTTCAGAGATTGTATAGATAACGTTGAAATGCTGGGTGTCGGTAATCTGCCCTGCCAACACACACACACACAAGTTTATATAAGTTAGCAAGCAAGTTCATTTAATATATTCATTGCACTTGGGCATATGACAAATAAACTGAACCTTTTCCTTCTTAAACTTTCTTAAATCCCCATAGTAACCAACGAGTCTGGACTCCTGCGCAATGAATACAAACATCACTGCAGAGAGCTGGAGGAGTCTGCAGTAAGGCTAAGAGGTTGTTGTTATATTAATTTAAAAACGTAATGGTAAGAATTCAAACACTGCATATCCATTTGCTTGTTAGATTGAATCAGCTTCATTTTCTGGCATTTATAAGAATTCTCACATTCTGCAAAATTGCATAATATTATTCTATGACTTCCTCTGTTTTAAGTTGAGTCATTCAGAGCTCTGCTGCACCTAAAACAGAAAACGCTAACGCTGCAAGACCAGGGCTACAGATCCTAGACCTTAAGACAAAAGAAACTATGTAACAATACAATATGTCACTTTCTCTTCACTTGTCATTTCTCTACACAAGTCACTAAACTAATTCCACTCATACCAGCGACCGTTTTTGTTAATTCCCTTCTGTGCTATGAAAACAGGTTAAAAGTTTAAGATATCATTTCTATGCCTTATCTTCCTGGATGTGTCCTCAGGGGCCTTTTCAAATTCGACTTAGATGAGATAATTGAATCTGTCTGCTTTAAATACCATCTCTCGCTGTTCTTTACCCTCTATAAAAGCACCTAGTTACCACAAAGGAAATGTTGGTACGCACAAGGCATTCACATTTATTTCAGGATTGAAAGGGGAAAAAAAAAAGATACACTCCACTTCACCGCTAAGGTTCTGACCTGTAAAAGAAAGAAAATGAGCAGCAGGGGCCAAGTGTAAAGTTTTTTTTTTTTTAAACAGGAGAGCCTAAAACCAGCATTTTTTATTTCTTGATTGTCTCTTTCGGAAAACTCGCAGTGCCGAAGCAGTATCAAGGACATTATCTTGGTTGTCCCTGTTTTATATGTCGCATACATGGCTTTCTACAACAGGGGGTGGGTCTTAGGGAGCCACTTACGAATGCACTACACTACGCCACCCCCACTGCACATGTACTGTACTTTATCACTGTTTTTGAAAAATATTTCTTCTGTACCACATCTATCTTTTCATTGTCTAACTGCTTCATACAGTTTCCTTACTTCCCACCTACCTACAATCCAGTGCAGGGTGCTGGGCGAGCTGGAACCTATCTTGGAAAGCAACGGGAGCACGGAGGGCTACACCCTGGATGGGACACCAGACCATCACAGGGCAGACGGGCACCGACATGGCCACACTCACACCAGGGCCACTTTTCTCAGCAGCCAATTGACCGACCAGCATGTCACTGGACACCTGGTGGAAACCCACACAAACGCGGGGAGAACACACAAACTCCACACAGACAGCACCCCCGATCCGGAACTGAACCCAGGGCCCCAGCACAGAGAAGCAGCAGCAATATAAATCACCGCACCACCATGCCAACACGATATCTATGTGTACCAAAAATAATCTGTTATCCTTCCTTTAGGCACGCTTAGACACAACACTGACAGTTTTATTTCCAAAGCGGAATGTTCTCCTCCAGTAAAACGAGGTGTTTGACAGGGTTAGATTAAAACTGCTGGATTTGGATGACAGGGATAACGAAAAGGGCTTCTCATGGCCACTTTTGTCCTCGGAGAGAAATGAACAAGTTACTACAACCAAGGTAATGTGCATCCTTCAAAACCAGCAATTATCTCACTTCTCTCCTTGGGAAGAGACGTCCTTTCTACGGTCCGCCTTCACTTAATTAAAACGGCGAACCTTTTAATATTCAACGCAGGAGTCACTGTCTGCGAGAGGCCGATTCCACTTAAAACCCAAGCCAGGATGACAGATGAATTTGAAGAGCAGAGGCAGAAAACCAGACGGAGCTGAAAAAAAAATCATTAGATATGAAGTGCTGCTTTCTTAACGGCAGCAGCTTACTGGTAGGAAATAAAGCAGTCTCATGTGTAGATGTACTGTTTTATCTTTAGTTAACCCAACAGAATCACTGCTTCAGGCCAGCCATTCAAAAGAATTTAATCCAAATCTCCGAGTGCCAATTGCTGCAAGTACGGTAGGCACGCCATTGGAATAAAATATTCAATCACAATACTGCGCTACATTTTACAATACAAGAGTAAAACCCTTTTCCTTACACTTCGGGTTACTTAGAAGGTAGTTGGTAAACAAAACTGGTCTTGCACGGCTGATCAGGCTGTCAGACGAAATCCCAGCTCCACACGCTGAAAGTATCAGGTCTTCCGAAAACACGGACTACGAAGATGAAGGCTTCATTTACTGTAGGTTTCTGTACACGACTGATACCAACAGGGCTATTTAAATGGGAAAACCAACCAAAAGGACTGTTAGCAAGCCTCCATGACCTGACTCACGGATGCCTTCTCAAACCTTAAAGAGAACCATTAACCAAAACAGGTAAAAAGGTTTACAAAGTACACTGTCCTTCAGATGAGAGGTAAAACTGAGGTTCTCTGTGGTTATTAAACATCCCAGGCTTCATTACTCTGTGCTCCTCCCCACTGACAACATCTAGATGTTGCTGTTGTTATTATTATACACTACAAAGGAATGAGACAGAGCTTAAGGGTAGATGGGATAAGTTGGATACAGAATCATTACTGAATGGATGGCAACAGCTGAAGAATATTTTGGGTAAAACACAAAACATTCATCACGAGAGTAAATCAAAGGCTATAAAGCAGAATCTCAGATGGTTCCATCGACCAAGACAAAATGATGGAAAATGAAAGCACTTCTTAAAGTGATTTTAAAAATACTAGAACATGAATATAATGAACTGCAAAGGACATGTATAAAAATATCTGAAAGCCCATACTGCAAAGGTTTCTAGACTGAATGTTTTATCAGCGTTAAAACAAGCAGAACAATAATAATAATAATAATAATAAAAGATGAAGCAATGTCTCGGAGAATACATGTTAAACTAAGACAATGAAAGGGAAACAAATGAGAAATGGCTGATGTACTGTATTTAATACTTGCTTATCTCAGGTCCTCACTAGGAAGAAACTGTCGATACCCCTTAGGATGTTTTATATCTAATAATACCTTGGCATACAAGAGGCAGAAGAGGTTCTAAAAGCTCTTAATCTCCAGAGGATGATGATATTCTTCCAACTGTAACTCTTCAGTCACTCAAGACTGAGATAATATCCATTGGCTGGAGAATTAATGAAATAACCCATCCACATAAGGTTGATAAACCCCGAACCAAGTAATTATAATGGAAGTAAAACGTACTGATCTTCTGATATCAAGAACAGTGATTAGAAATAAACTAGAAAGACTTAGGTGTTTCTGCTGACATTAATATCTTCTAAACAGTGTGGGGAAGCAGTAAAAACGCAAACATGCTAGATTATACAGTTCAAAGTGTAAAATTTAAATCAAGTGAAGTTAAGCTGAAATTGTATAAAACTGTTACCAAAAAAGATATTGCTGCTCTGGACCAAACATAGTACATACTGTACAATATCATTAAATGGCCTTTTTCACGTAATTGTGACACATTTAAGCATTCAACTCTTAATATCATTTAGAAATATGATAAATTAAATATGTAATCATTTCTAGTATTTCTAGGGTGGACTTCTAAACAAGCGTTTAAATTCTGCACTGAACATTAAAAATGTGAGAAGCTGGGACTTTGTTACACAGGAATACAGGGAAGGCGGAGGAAATGACAGGACACCACTTCATGTGTAACATTCTGGGACATCTGGCCAAGTTCAGTACTTGTGAAGTAGTGCAAAAATAACTAATGTATTAATATGACATTGTTCTTACGCAGCTTCTTTCCCTTAGAAGGACAGATAAAATGCATATTAGTAAAAAAAAAATCCCTTAGAAATGATTTATAATAACCCATACCAAAACCAGAAGATTGCACCAAGACCTCCGACAATAAATCCAACTGCTCTCTGCTCTTTCCTCCAGCTGCTCTGCTTCATTTTCCACACTGAATCACAGTTCAACCTGGACAACAGCAGCTATAAACCAGTGTACCACAGAGTGCACCGCATTGCTTTATGAACCAATTACTTACCGAGAGAAGCGAAGGCTAGGACTGTTGACACATTCATGCTGACTGTCAGAACGCTCACAGCCCACAAGTTATTTTCTGAAGGTTTAGTTAATACACAAATCAAAGAAAAAGTGTGCTTTCCATTTGAGTGTCCTTCTGTCATTTATAACCTTTTGTGCTTTAAATCAGAATCCCACCTTTTGCTGTGCCCACTAAGAGTTGAACTCGAAAACAAAGGTATGAACAGTTCTGTAATTTCTCCTTAGCCAAAGAGCCCTTGTTAAATTTAACTATAAGGTAAAAAAAGTCAAGACGAAGACTACGTACTGTATATCCACAGTGCCAGTGAAAATGCCGTTACACATGACATTCTCCCGAGAATGTGCATGCACATTTAAGAATAAGACTAAAAAAAAAAATATTGTTTCACAGTATAACAGGTTTTTGCACAAGGTTAAACAATGGCACAGACGCACACAAAGGGGATGAATTTCAGTGCAACACAAGCGCAATAACGGTGATCGCAAAAGTCTGGTACTTACGAAGTCAAAGTCTCCGTCCTGTGGCACTTTCCAATTATCTGGGAAGGCATTCTTGGCTAAATGGTATGGCTCCTGCTTATTCTGGTTGCAGTTTTCATGAGCTATGTTCTTCGAATCCTGCTTGTCAAAGTAATCCATGAAGGACGGTCTTTGTGCTTGCTGTGAAGTAGCATTTCCTGCAGAAGAAAAAAACACCTCGTTCAAAACTACAAACAGCAGCAGAAACAAGCAAAGAAAATAAAAAAAAATAGATAAATTCATGGATTTTGTTAAAAACTAATTAGAGACGTGGTGTGAAGATTGAAATGTACCCAAAAAATTAGAACAATAAAACAGGACAGGGGGACGCTGGCAGGAGGATAGAAACAGACATTTTTATTTAAATCAATTTTTTCCATTTGCAGATAACCTCAATGAATTTGAATAATTGGAAAATATTGCTTTCTTTTTTAAATCTACTACAGGCAGTTTGCAAATGACACGCTCTAATGTGGTCCTAAGAATAAGTATAATTTCTTAATTTAGGGCAAATTAGTTCCATCAATACTGTACATGGGCACAGCATGTCCAGCAAACGTGACGGAGTGTGAGAGACAGTATGCCCTGCCTGTATGTAGATATTATACTACTGTTCAAACAAACTATTTCAGAAGTTCTTCGCACATTTGTGATCCGATTCAAAGTCTAGATTGTGACTTAATTCCAAGCACGTGCAAAAGGCATAACCACATCTCATTTTTCCAGCTTAACAGTGTAGGAGTATGCAACTGATAAATATCCAAAAAAATGTCTCCCCCTTTCCACAAATTGGCACCTATTTTGCACTACTTTGTGCATCTCAGCTCCAGTCAGACAAACTGAACATCTCCCAGGTATTAGCGCCAGTGTTCCCACCCTTTCATCCAGCCACAGAGCCACTGCTCTTAAATAAAAAGCCAGCCATTGCACATTCCCTACAAACCATTTAACACAAAGGAACTTGCCACTTCTGCATTCAGACTAAGACCCACAGTCAGATCAATTTGAAATCTTGCTGGGGTTAACCTGGGACATTTCTGTGTGCTCAATTATCCTCAAACACCCCAATGCATGCCGGGGAGAGAAATGTGCGCTCCAAGTGGTCCAGCGGGAGATCAAGGTGATGGAGAATATCAAAGCTCTCTTCCACAGCAGATCTGAAGCCCAATTAGCACAGAATGGAAAACAACACATTGATACACAACCTCTGCCTCCCAGAGAAACCCTTGAGAAATCAAATACATCCCAACGCGCCACATGTGATGCGACCTGTGCTTTTCAAAAAACGGCAGGATCGTCTAATCAATTTCATAACATCATGTGCAAAGACTTCATAAAATGTCATCAGTGACCGATATAGTGTCACAGATAATGATGGCAAAAAATACAGGCCGAGATGGCAATTAAGGTTGCTGAAGAAAAAGTGGTGAAGCTAAAATCACACACTGAAGCACTTAAAGGGCTTTGGAGCTGTGCTGAAGGCAAAGCCTAAATGAAAAGAGACAGCTTTTTAATTTACCTACTGTTAAATAGTAAATGTAGCTCACAGTCATGTGCATATAGACACAAAGGTGACTGCTATCCATCTTCATTTCACTTGCACTCGTGCTACAGTACGTAGCAATCTGCATGGCTGCAAGTATCCAGCTTCTGAAACTCCAGTTTACTCCCTTCAAAAGAAAATACACAGCAAAAAAAAAAAGCCTAAAATCTAGGACTAGGACCAGGATCTCATCTGGATAAACACTTTGAGTGTGAAGAATTAGAGGACTGCAGTTCAATGTTCCATTAATAATGCTTCAGACTTCACCTGTGTATCTCATCATCACAGCTGATGAATAATATTAAATTACAAACACGCACACACTCACTTGAAAAAGATGTTTTCCACAACATTTAATGACCCATCAGTGTGAAGACAGCAATGAGGCTATGTAACAATCACCCACCTGTTGAACAACAGACAGTGAAAGGAAGGGCACAGAGGACTACTGATAGGATGCTACAAAGTCCCCGAGTGAGCAGGAATCTCATGACAAGCTGGTTTTCAAGCCACCCCAGTGATTCGCTTAGTATGGTTTTTCAAACGGTGAGAGAAAACGCAAACAAAGCAGCATCTCCAGGCCGACAGCAAATCTTATCCACATGTGAACAGGAGGACACTCCCAGGGTAGTGCTCTACAGCCGCTGAAAGCAGGGCTGCACACAAATGTGTCTGCGAGAGGCCTGAGGCAGCTGTCGGCCTTGGTCAGAATAGTCCTCGGTTCCAGTCTCCAATTTAAGATGTACCACTTTCATCAAACTCAAGCTCCCAGGAGCAACTATCAACTCTGTGCAAGTGTGCAAGTCATTTCAATTTGGTGCTGCCAGTGACCAGGACAATCTGCAGAGTAAGGCAAAATTATCCACCTTCATATCTGAGGGCGTTTTCAGCTGTAGGATTAAAATGTTTCTGCCATCTCCTTTTCTTTATAGTTTTATTTATAGACTGATTGCTCGTTTCATTGATTTACCATTTATATATTTTCAGCACAATAATGCGCAAGCCACTGCAAATAACTCATTCGAAAAATTATTTTTCATCTGGTTCATGAATAGTAATATATCCTAATATTATTTTAACTATAAAAAGGCATCTTTAGAAAGCTGCAAATTAAGAATGCCAAAATCTTTATACTAAAAACAACAAACCACTGCAAGACCATAACATACACCTGCGTCCTCATATAACCTTTTATAAATAATCTGAATCTGATAATGCTGGGGTATACTATAAAAAAGGTTTCATACACTCTAGTCATACCTGCTTTCTATCTGTGCATCCAGTAAAATGAAGTACATAAAAAAGCTCACAAGTACACAATTAACACACAGCTCCACATCTACACCAGCCCACAGAGGACGCAAGGTCAAGGACAGCAGCTCATTCCATATGCCTCTGCAGTAGATGCTGAAAGCAGTGACTGGTGGTAATCTCACCCTAAATGCCTTTTGGTGTGTTAATATCCAAACATTTATGTTCTCTATAGTAGGATGTCACCTCTGGCACTTCTGAGATAAAGCCACTACTATTAAACAGTAATCTGGACTGTTTTACCAACATCTCCAAATTTACAGGTGGCAGAAATCCAGGACAGTTTAAGAATTTGGATCAGGGAGCCGGAATCTTGCTGGCATTAAAGGGGAATGCACTTGTTAAAAGAGGCTGTTTAATTCACATAGTCTTTGAGAAGACTCTTAAGTAACTGCCTTCCCAGCACTATAGAGTCCTGCAGCAGGCTGCTTTGTGCATTCAAGTACTATGCACTAAGCAGGATCCAGACAGCACCACCTGAGCATGAATGGCTGTCAATATATGTCAATATGTGACGGGCAGAGGAATGTCTGTCAAAACTGTCAATGAGCCAAGAGGCCTCCTCCTTCTCGATTACACTTCATCTCAGCAATGCACACACTGAAAGAAAATAACACTGCTCGTTTTGCAGAAAATGCAGATAGGTCATGCCTTACGTACAGGACAGACAAATGTTTTTTAATTTTCAAGATGACACACCTGTATTAAAATGTCTCACAATTGGAGAGCAGATCACTGGCTGTTAAGTCTCTGACACTCTGCCATTGCAAACCCTTTAATTGCCTTTACTACCTGCAAAGCTGCAATGAAAGAAGTCCTTAAAAAATAACCAAAAGAGCTGTAAAACAAATCCAAAAACAGAGAGACGAATTACACAAAAGGAAAAATGAAGGCTGTAGTGGAAAAAAAAGCTGGCAGACTAATCTGTTTGGAAATAGAAGCCAAATACATTCACACTGCAACACATATGTTGAAACGTGTAAAACCAAGCGATTATTCCAAGGAGAAAACACTCTGCTTAATCATACAGCGAGCAATATGGAAAGCCACTTCCTGGATTTTAATAGGACTGATCCCAGGCCTAAGTGCTTGAGTGCAGAACTGCTTGAGTGAGGCCACCCTCAGCGAGTGACAAGACCCTGGGCTCGAACCCAGGACACCTGGGTCACAGAGCTCTACCTGTACTTTACAGGTCGAGCCAGTCAGGACCCCCCTTCCCCCCCCCACCTGCTTACATGATGAGTGCCTCTCATTTCTGCAGGGTGTCCTGTGTGAAAAATATTAACAAACGGTAATAAAGAAAACCCCGGCAAATTAAAGCTGATCATGAAAAGGTGGCGACACTATACCTTACATGTTGGTATGGGAATAACCACTTTCAGACAGAAATGATCATTTGCTCCTACCTGCAGCTTTTGTTTTCGGAGACCTTCGGCCACTTATGTTGCATACTGCACCGTCCAGTAATTTTATCCCGGAACTGAGCCATTTCCAAATCTAATGACTGGAGGACTTCAGAGGCAGATTGTGGAACTACTCAGTTAAAGCCCCAGCTAGGGTTAGGGTTAGCATTCCCTCACTACTTAGACATTTTTTATGCTCAGTGCTGGATTTTAAGGGCCCAAGTCAGCTTTAGGATGAGTGATAATTTGCTCCTATCTGCAACTTTTTCCCCCCCCCAGAGACTTTTAGTCACTTGTATTGCCTACTGCACTGTTCTGTAACTGTACCCTAGATTTGAGTGAGATCAAAGTTGTAAGAAAACCTATTCTAATGGATAAACACTCTTAATTTTATCATTTAAAGGGTGACAAAGTATAACTGCAGTCAACATTTAAGGATTCTTGTAACCCTAACTGTACACTGGCCCAAATGGATCCTCATTTAGTCTTTTTTTTTTCCCACAAAAAAGGTCCATTTTGGTTTCAGTGTGCAAGACTGCCCGGCAAACAAAGCATGAACTGGGACCTCGTTATATATGAAAGAAATGTTTCTTTCCAACCCAGAAACCTGAAGACAATGAGCAGTGTTGAAAACCACTGCCTTTCTTTCAGATTGGCAATCATTAATATGATGTATTTGTTTCAGGCTTCGCAAGGGAATGCTGTCTTTAACACGTGGTCTGGATCTATTCGTCTGTGGTTAAGAACGAAGCACTTAAGTCTACCAGATACAAAAAGCTGAGAACTGTACACCACTGGAGTCAAGACCACAGAACAGAGTGGGCCTAGTACCCATCTGACTGCAGTTTACTGTACATAGTCTAAAGGGTAACTTTAAGAACTACAGAATATGGACTTATAAATTAAAATTGTAAGCTGTACATGGCCACCAAATGGATTAATAATTTAATGAAATAAAGCAAGCAACAGTCGAGAGAAGTTTCATCTCCAGCGGACTGACATGGGGACCCCTGAGCTTGGTGTAACAGTTAATGTACAGGAATATCTCTGAACTGCCTGCTGCTTGATTTTTATACCTGAAAATGCTCATGGAAACAGCAGCAATAGGCTCTATTTAGCATGCTATGTCACTTCACGCCAGCAAAAAAAACCCCAGATAAAATCAGGTCGTAAGCCACAAATTGCCAGAGCACACTCTCCTGCACAGCTCACACAAGAAATATTGCAGCTCTTGAGTGCTTTCCTTTTTTTCATCCCAGCTAGTACGCTATCTCCTCCAGACCTATTTTCGTCCTGCTTTATGAAATAATTAACAAGTGAAGGCGGACTTGGTTTTATCTCATTTTCACACCTTAAAGGGACGGTAAACAATTTTCTGTCTTCCATGCTTGAGCTGTTCCAGAGAAAAACCTCAGACTTCTGCCTCAGGGCTGAATGTGAGGGTGCAAGGTAGGAATCGTGCATGACTGAACGACAATACGTTCATTGTAACTCAATACTGAACAAGTCCTTAACCCTTTATCTGGAAGTAACGTTAACTGAGAAAACATTCACAAGATTCATCCAGTGTTGTAATAAGATAAGATCACTTTATGAGCCCTATACAATTTCTTGCATTAGATATTTGTCTTTCTGTGAGACACACAGGCACACAGACGGGGAGAGAGAAGCCTGGAGTCAGTGCGCAAGGTCAGCCATTTATACAGCGCCCCTGGAGCAGTTGGGGTTAAGGGCCTTGCTCGGGGGCCCAACAGAGTAGGATTCCTCTGCCGGCCGTGGGATTTGAACCGGCAACCTTCCAGCCACAGGCGCAGATCCTGAGCCACAGAGCCACTGTTCCGCCCCACAGAGAGAAGCATGGCACCACCCTGCTGGGTTTCACACCCTGTGAAGCTGCTGCTGCTCCAGACTCTTTGTGCAGCAGCAATGCGTAGCAGATCTCAACTGGGCCTTGAAGTCCGAGACTATATAGGCCCTGTGGACAGGGGGATCTTGGTTTCCTAGCACTGCTATGTAAGCATTGATCACAGGTGCCACGTTTGCCTGGGTAAGAGTGTGGAAAGGGTGGGGAACAGACAACACCATGCTGAAGGAAGTACTTCTCTTCACAGACCTGTGTTTCGGGGGTTGGGGATCTCACGGCAGAGGAGCGTGGTGTAGTTTCTCAGAAGCTTAACATGGAACTTGCCATCTCCGAGGAGCAGAGCTCACCCTGGCCTCAGGACAGCAATCAAAAACCTCAAGTGCCTCAGAGCCCCAGCAAATTAAACCGCTCTCAACATTATGTGGCGACTTCAGGGGAGGACATTTTCGATTTCCAGTAAAACGATTTTGTGCGTGCAGCCCTGCCATCCTACTGGTCAGAGTTATATTTTGGAATTCTTTAACTCAGGGTCATTTGTTTCAGGTGTTGATTTATTGAAGTGCTGTGCATCTTTCTCAGAAAGAATGAGTGGTATAATCTAGAGCCTGTCTTTAACATTAATTTTAAATACACCTCTGCTTCACTATTGCTTACATTTAGAGTGACAAACAGGCTGCAATGCCAAAATGCTGTGTTTATGCTTGTCAGACTACACCGAATACTGTTGTAGTTATATCAGCCAGCTCTGCAAAGTGAGAAGGCACGCAGTAATGCGACACTCCCACCTAGTGGTACAGTCGCATAACTGCAGCAAGGTGACTATGCGTACCCTCCTGCAGTCCGCCACCCTTTATAAGCCAAAATCTGAACCACTGACTTTGCCCTTGTCTGGATGCAAATTATATACCTTACTGGGTCAAAAAAAAAAAAAGAGACGGGTCAGAAGATGTGGGTAGCACATGAAAACAATGCTTCTTCTACCATGGAGATCTGGCTAAACTACAAAAAACTATATTTAAAAATAAGCCATTCCTTCCAAAGCAAACCTGTACAACTTAATCTAACAATACAGTCTTAAAAGCTAAGCACCAGGAGCAGACAGGTGTCATAAATGATGCCGTGTTTTCTTCATTCAATTTCATGGCCTAAAGTAATAGATCCTTCTGACACAGAGGTGTCCAGAAGGCAGCACACACTGGATGAGCCTCCAAAATGTATTTAACAGTAATATGCCACAACCTCTGGAAACCACAGGCAGAAATGTGCGGGACTAGAATGACCTCTGCCATCGACGATGATCCAAATGGATCCTCATTTAAATAGCCTTTTTTTTTTTTACAAAAAAGGTCCATTTTGGTTTCAGTGTGCAAGACTGCCTGGCAAACAAAACATGAACTGGGACCTCGTTATATATGAAAGAAATGTTTCTTTCCAACCCAGAAACCTGAAGACAATGAGCAGTGTTGAAAACCACTGCTTTTCTTTCAGATTGGCGATCATTAATAGGATGCATTTGTTTCAGGCTTCGCAAGGGAATGCTGTCTTTAACATGTGGTCTGGATCTATTCCTCTGTGGTTATACCAGCAGCCATATCACTCTACAACTCACAACTGATACCCCACTGAAGCTCAGCAGGTGTGAGCCTGGTCAGTACCTGGATGGGAGATCTCCTGGGAAAAACTAAGGCTGCTGCTGGAAGAGGTGTTAGTGGGGCCAGCAGGGGGCGCTCACCCTGCGGCCCATGTGAGTCCTAATGCCCCAGTATATTGACGGGGACACTATGCTGTAAACAGGCGCCCGTCCATCGGATGAGACGTAAAACCGAGGTCCTGACTCCCTGGGGTCATTAAAAATCCCAGGGCATTTCTCGAAAAGAGTAGGGGTGTAACCCCGGCGTCCTGGCCAAATTTCCCATTGGCCCTTACCAATCATGGCCTCCTAATAATCCCCCTCTATGAATTGGCTTCATTACTCTGCTCTCCTCCCCACCGATGGCTAATGTGTGGTGAGCGTTCTGGCGCACTATGGCTGCCGTCGCATCATCCAGGTGAGGCTGCACATTGGTGGTGGTGGAGGGGAGTCCCCATTACCTGTAAAGCGCTTTGAGTGGATTGTCCAGAAAAGCGCTATATAAGTGTAAGCAATTATTATTATTATTATTATTATTATTAAGAACGATGCACTTAAGTCTACCAGATACAAAAAGCTGAGAACTGTACACAACTGGAGTCCAGACCACAGAACAGAGTGGGCCTAGTACCCATCTGACAGTTTATTGTCGGTACGATGCCCTGTGGGCGGCCGGCTGGTGCTGCCGACGTCTGAACGGGCACAGTGGGGCGGACTCACTCTTCATGGTGCCGTCCTCCTCCTCGTCGTCGCTGTTGATCACCATGGTGCCCAGGTCGGACTCCAGCATGGTGCTGTTGTGCTCGATCATGGTCTGCGCCCCGTCGCTCATGGTGCCTGTCGCCCGCATGGTGCCCGCGCCCTCGGAGCCCGTCTTCACCATGGTGTGGGAGTCCACCTCCACCTCGTCCTCCTGGGGCAGAAAGCAGGGCGGGTCAGCGCCGCCGGACCCACGGGGCCCGGCTCAGCAGAATCTCTTACACCGCACACAGCAACGGACTCTTTTTTTCCAGGCGGGGGAATGTAAGCTTTCTGATGCAAGTCAAAAGATGTCACATCGGAGGATCAAAACGACATGATCCAGGGATAAAAAGCAAAGAATCCATTTTCGCTGAAAGAATACCCAATAAAACCCTAAATAAAATAATAAAATTGCTCAGGTGCAATTTGCTGAAAGAAGACAAAGATGGCACATAACAGTGCTCAAAATATGAAAGTCTTCCGATTTTGGTGTATGGACCTTTCTAGATTGTGTTCTGGGCCTTTTATTAGGTAGGTAGTGTTAGGCAGAACTGCATAAAACTAATGAATAGGTTACAATACACTACTCCCAGATCTCACACCGTTATTCAGCTTAAGGTTAATCAGATTTTGTCGTGTTTTTTCTGCATTTCTACGTAGAAGCAGAAACGTACAACACGCATCCACACAGTTTTTGTCTTTTTCGTTTTTTTATTAATGTTTCATCCACCTCCCCTTTTCTCCATTCCCAATTTGGAACACACAATTCACATTTCACTTTGTTACTGGCAGCTCCCGCGTCTGAGCGGATGACTAAAGATTGATGAGTATCCTCCAGTCTCACAATATGCTTTTTAAATGTGCTAAGCCATTGGGAACGCTCTCCACCAGCTGCTGTTCAGCCCAGCGAGTTTCACATAAGCATCTCTGACATTTCATTTTTAATTCCTGCACAATTAAGGACAAACAGAATTAGCTAACAGTGCTAATTTCGTCCCCACAGAGACTCCCCTGAGTCCTAGACCCGTAATATCCCGCCAACAGATCACGCATATTCGTGTTTAGATAATCGTGATCAGTGTATCAAACTTTAATAATGGTCCAGGTAGGCTAACAAATGTTTGGGGAGCACATCTGAAAGGTATTAGGCATGAAATGGATAGGACATCAAAAGGAAACTCGTGCAATCTGCCTCCCTGCTTGTATGCGAATGACCTTATTGAAAACAAACCTCATGTTTCCTAAATGATTTAATAAACACCAAATAATGCAGCAAATGGAGTTTAGCATGATGAAGACCAAGATGATATGCATTATTAATCCCCAGTGAGGTCAAAGTGCAAGGCCAATGCCGACTTCGTTGACATTTACTAATGCACCTCTTACAGTAGGCAATCCGCTGGGATCAAAAGCTTAATGATGTAATGGCAACAAACGAAATTTGTATTTTCACACTCATTGTTCCTGATAGGCCTAGCATTAAAGTAGTTCATATTACAGGAAGTTCAGCTATCCATCAAAACTCAACATGCGTTATGAAATCTTTGGGGGGCTACGCTAAGGTCCACAAAATTCTTTAAAACATGGCTCATTTATTTTGCCAACCTGCAATTTCCTCAAGAGTCGCTTGTGTGAACAACTTCCTAACATTACTAAACAGCTCATAATGGATAATGGTGACCGCTGTGGGATGGCGGGCAGATCACGAGAGGACTGCCCTGGTGGGCATACCAAGATGTGTATGGAAACTAATCTCAAAATCGAACACTCGCACTTTGTGTGTCAAGTGAAATCCGAGCCACGATTCCAGGAACTGCTCTTCTTTCTATGAAACAGGTGCTGGCTCCATGGGAAAGGGTTATTATTTCAAGTGTACGGAAAGTTAAACATCTGTTGTTAATATAAGAGGCAGGGGACACTCCTGTCAGTGGATCTCTTACAAATGGCCAAAGTCTGAAGCAGTTTCACTTCATGCTTTCAAACTGCCCTTGTTTGTATAGAAATCTCTGCTACATTTCAAGTGATTTTGTTGAGATGTTATTTATTTTCCTTTTTTAAAGTAAAAACAATATCCCAACTGACCTTCCTGTGGAGTATAGCATTTTAGAACTTCTTGAGACATACGAGCTCTGGCTTTGCTCATGAGCAGAATTCAATTAGGTTTAAGCTCCATCGCCGCAATTATCTGCTCAGTATTTTGCGTGGCATAAAACAAGCACTTCATACTCCCCCAAATCCCTTCTTATTTTTCAGATTACATCATGATTGCGCCAGGGGACGAACTGGAGATGGCACTAAAGGGAGCAAGTATGATATGATATTGCAGGAAGATCTTCAAAACAACTTTCTTTTTGATACTCATTACAGCTCAAAGGCAAGCACTGATTGCATATGAATGTCTGTTCATTTTTAACAGCAAGGATTCCAAAGAAGAATTATTTTTCTATTTTGTAGGACAAGGCACAGCATCAAAGTCATTGTATAGACACATGAAATGTATTCTGCTGGTTTCCCTGCGAAAATAAAACATCTCAGCAGACTTATTCATTAATTCATGCGAACGTTTATACATGAATGAAGTATACAACACTTACAAATATCCCAAGGTGACTACACAGTTATTTTGATAAAGTGATGAGTAAATTGCTGTAATAAATTGTAATGATGTTCTTCAACATACAGTAAGTGGGTCTAATCCTCTATGTGACTTAGGAAGAAAAGCTCTATATAAATACACAGAACCGATACTACTACAAGCCGAACAGAATAACAAGTGTAGACCACATGCAAGAGAGAGCACTTCATTTATTTGGCTACAGTCTAGCCTAAGCCTTGATTGGCCTTGATTTAAATTATGCTGTGGTATTTCTCAGTCAGAAACGTTTCTTTAACCAACGCTTTTAGAATGAGAAGGCCCGTGAGCTTTTGTATCTATTTCAGCCTCCATCTGTCAGAGTAACAATATCCATGGCTTTTTAAATGTACCGATTGATACTCTAAATCTGATGAATATATGGGCAGGTTAACTAAGTACTGCAAAAATTAAATGGAGTACTTCATACAGAATCTGCATTCAGACGCTGTGTCTGAGACAGCGGTTCTGTCCACACCCACTTTCACAGGCACTGTGGGAGTGGGACACAAAGCACTGCTAATGGGGGCCTGCTTGTGCAGCCCACTCTTTAGGCCTGTTTAAGCAGGGCCAAGGCATATCTGCCAGCAGCACTACCTACAAAGCCACAAACGATTTTTGTTTTTGCTCTGGCCTTCAACCCATGTCTGACAAGAATCACACTTGCTCCCTGCTCAGTTTTAAAACCGAGCGGCCGTGTCAGGTAAATGTGTCCCAGAACTAACCTGACTTGATCAACGGCCATGACAACACTTGCCAAATTTCATTCAGAACAAGGGCAGCGATTGTCTTTTAAACAGCCATAAAAGCTTTGTCAGACCTTTTTACTTAACCCCCTTGCAAATAAAATCTTAACTAACACAACATTTTCTAAAGACTGCAGCTCCAGTGTTCACCCGCTGTGTCTGAGACTGGTCCTGTCCAGACACTAAATAGTTTTCCCCATTTCTATTTTGATTAGAACTGCACTCAAATATGGAATACAACCAATCTTTGCAGACTTTCAGCCATTAACTTAAAAACATGTTCATGGGAGCTTTTTACTCAAATGCCTGGTTGAAAGAGGAATAGGCCACAACCCCAATTTCATATCAATCTACAACTTTGATTTTTAATTTAATGTCCAAACAAACTGCAAATTGATTTAAATTGCAATTCACAATAAACTATTGCACAACAAACTGAAGGAACCAACCAGTAATTCACCATTTTAAAATTAATGTGTGATCCATGAGCGCAATATGTTTGTGCGGACATGTGTTGCTTCAAGTAATTCCTTTTTATTCTTGGTTGCTTTTTTTTTAAGTATTTGTATGCTGTTCCAGGGCACATTTCAAGATGTTAACACTACAGTGAAATCTAAATCCGAAGGTACCTTCAGAGAAAATTCAGAAAAAAAAAGGCACAAAAAAAAAACCCGGCAAACTAGCCAATCAAGATACTATAACACTCAGCTGATTGTTTCTAGTACGTGACATCAGGAGATCCGATTTCTCCCTCACAAGAGAATGGGCAAAGCTGATCAGAAATACAGCCCCAGGTATCCTTAGGAATCACATTAACCCTGAACTTGAACCGTAACTCATTCATCTGTTTGCACCCCAGGCAGAATATTAGAAACATACCAGTTACTTCACACCTCAGATTCATTGCCTTGAGATACACACAGAAAATCTGCTTGGCAATTTGGGACAGTACCGGTTAGCAATGGTAGATTACAATCACATGTTCGGTTATTGAATTTCTTGCTTCGGGTTAGATGTGAAGGCTCCTGCATTTCTAATTAATGCTAATTTGTCTTTGTGTAGCGGCCAAGGGCCCGTCTGGGGAGCGTGGAACAAGACTGAATTATAAAATGTAATTAATCACTGCCCAATTGGTCCAGAGCAGAGCAGCTCCCCACATACACAGGCTTTTAACAGTGTAAACTGCTGATGGACAATGGCTGGCGCCAGGGAAAACAAACTCATGGTCCCTGGCATTTATTTGACCAGTTTGCCCCTGGTAACAAGACCCGAACCCAGAAAGTTGATTAAGAGCGACTTTAGCCATCCTGATTTGCACAAGAGAAAAGGCGAAGGGCCCTGCAGAAGCCCAGTGAAGGGGCTAGGAGATCTGAGCAATCGATGCAGAATGACCAAGGATCCTTTTGGTCCACATTGCTACCTTTATATTGTTATAAGCACACTGGGAGAATACCAGAACAATACAGAATTCCAGAACAACAGGGAATTCCAATCTAGGAACAGTCCGCAGGGGAGTTCCGATTATCACGAAAATACAAACGCTACAAGTGAGGAAAATGAGAGGACCACCTACACTCTAGAACAGGTAACCGATGCTCAGAGACACCAAGATATGTAGAGCAACAGGGATCTGCCTGGGGCTAAGTGGCACGACACTCAGCCTGCCGCCTATAATCTGGTGCTGAAAAATTCAGGATCACCCCCAGTGCACAACTGGGACAGCGAGCGGACGACTGCTCTCCTGCTGAAAGGACTGGTGTGCCACTGCAGGGTAGGTCAGACAAGGACAATCGGGAGTAGGAAAGCAAACCTAGCCTAAGAAACCAATGCTCCTGCCCCAAACCCACACGAATGTTTAACCAACCAACCAACCGAACCAACGGCTACTTATATGGGCAAGTTGACATAAACACTGTTGGTAAACGGAGGTACTGCCTGAATAGGAGTACATGGCCACAACTACTGTAGCGCTCCTTTTTATGGTGAAGTGCAACAAGTATAAAAACGTAAACCACTCAGTGCCAAAATGAAATAACCGGCCGATATGCACAACTTTCCATGGGACTGCCTATGCGTGCCCGGAGAAAGGGGGAAGATGATAACAAAGGGAACACTATAGCAGAGGTCTGTCTCTGTGCTCACGGTGCAAAAACAAGAGCAGGTGGCTGGTCCCCGTCAAATTAAGTACAGGTGGTTAACCTCTGTCAAAGGAAGGAATTGAGTTAATATGTGAAAACAGATGACTGCATCAGCATTTATATGTATCACACTGCAGCGAACACTGCAAATTTTCAATGATGTTGAACAATCTCGTGAAACGAGGAACATCAGAAAAGGTTACATAAACAGTAAAAGCAAAAAAAGTCCTCCAGAGTTTCCTCTGAAACATCATCAAAAACACATTTTTTGTGACTGAATACATGCTGGGTTGTGGTCAGTTTATAATTAGGAGCATGACGTGATGAACTTAAATTGCAACTTAAGAAGCAATTACATTGCAGCCTTGCTTACCAACTGTGGCTGTTGTATTTCAAATTGCAGTCATTTCTGGTCATTACGGAGAGCAGTACCTGATCACAGCCTTGACTGACTGACACGGGCAGTGAAAACCCATCTCACAAGAAGGATCAGGTTTAAACAAAAAACACTGCAATTTCCAGGGCCTGAATAATCCCTGGCAACTAGCTCTGTGCTAAGCATGACGGCTTAGATATGACTTATTTTGGCAACCCACACAGTAAGAACCCAAGAAGATCAGCCCTACAGATGAGAAGGTTTGTGGTGGAAAGTGTCGCAGTTAAACTGTGGGCACTGGTACCAGAACGCAAGAAGTTCGGCATTTCCATCGGGTATTGCAGAAATCTTTGGGAAGTGAGCTCTCTGGCGCTATTACATTGTTCTGGTTATTACCCGAGATGAAAATGCATTTGAGAGGCTTCCTTCAGGGCCTTGATCGGGCAAGGCTAAAGAAAAGGATCAGGATCCCCCCACTGTTCAGCAGCACGAGCCTGCGGTCTCTGTGCGTGAAAGTGCAGCTCTCCACACACTGACGCCCGGGTCACAAACTCTCTGGAGACCATGGACTGAAGCTGGAAACATAAGGGGTGTGCGATCGATGTTTTAATGCAATCGAGTGGGTCTGGGTGGACTGCGAAAGAGCCATTCTAGCTCCCCTCCATTAAAACCACCCCAAATCTAGGCACTTCTGTTGTTTTTCAGTTCCAGTGGATCTTACTGCAATAAGATCAGACCAATTTCCATTTACATAAATAGTCAAACTCCAATCAAAAAGGTTTGGAATGCTGACCGGCTATATTTATGGATGTTTCTCGCATGTTTCTCGGCAACCAACGGCTTTCCCCAATCCCCCCCCCCCCACACGCACTCCCTCCTGCTGCTTCCCCAATCCCTCCCACACCTTCCCGACTCCCTCCTGCTGCTTCCCCAATCCCCCCCACACGCACGCACACACTTCCCCCACACAGCTGCCTGACCTCCGAGTCAACTCCACATCACACTGCAAACAACACGGGAGAGGATGAGGGCCATCATGTTTTGTAACGCTTAAACCAACATCAAAACTTTGATATTTGGATTAACCTCCTGTGTTGAACGAGAGGCTCGCCAATTTCATCCTTAATTAAAAAAATGTGAAAAATTACCTCAGCAGCTATGCAAACACTCAAGATTGTCAGCTCGCATTCACATCACTCAGGACAGCGCCGAAGACGAAGAAGTGACATGTGTTGCTGGATCCAGAAGGTATTCAGGATTTCCCATACCGGAGAGGACTGGCTTGATGCACCAGATGGTATTTTCCAACAACTGAAGACAGGACTTGCAAAGTGTCACAGGTCCTATTTCTGGATCACAATTTCTCATTAATTGCCACTTCGGTGTCTTTACATGCGGTATACATACCGAGTTCTCATCCTCCTCTTCCAGCTCCCTCTGTTGCTCCTGGTGTCTCTTGGCCTTGATCTCCATGGCCTCGGTTATAAGGTCACGCAGGATGGAGACGGGCTTTGCATTCTTAATAAACGGGTGCTGCAGCAGACAGGGGGAAACAAAGTCAGCCCTCTCACTCACTTGCACTTGGATGATGCTCAGACACACTAACCACAGAGTCTTCCTCCACCCACTATCGAAACCTGAAGGCCTTTCTGCGGTTAATCGCCAAATTAATTGATGATTCTGTTTCCTGCTCACACTGTGATCAACCTGTGCAGCTTAAACCTACAATGCAACCTGCGGGAGACCCGAGTGCAGCACAAAAGCTGCAGGAAGGTTAGTTCTCCTGTCTCCTGCTCCTGTATTTCAGGGTGGCTTTTCTAATTCGGTCGGTGTGATTTTCACAGCGTGCAAGGCAAATCACAAGTTCAAATACCAGTGAAGGTAAAAGAAGGTGGCACATTTGACACGCGGGAAGCTACCCAACAAAGAAAACAAAAAGGCCAATGAAGCCGCAAACCCCCCCTTCGTTAAACTACAATCAAGGGAAATCTAGCTTCCACAAAAGAGCAAAAAAGGACAAAGGCAGTGGAATGTGGAAAGAAATCAAAATGCACCCGCTCTTTAATCAGTGCCTAACATCAAACATTCAAGGGCTTGCATTAATGAACTTAATTTTAACTGGGCTTGCATCGAAGGCTTGGAGTGTTTTTTTTCTTGCTAAAAAAAATCACATTCTCATTCTGGGCAGAAAGCGTGAAACATTAATAATACCACACATGGCCCGTCACGTCAAATCAGACCCTCGGCCAAATCTGGCCTGCAACTGCTCCAGCCTGTAGGTCTACCGCAAGCCAGCCACAACATCTGACCGGCGGTTAATTCATTTATTCAGTTAATCAGCATAACTAACAAACATTTAAAGTCTGCTTGTCAGGCTACCCTTACAGCAAAAACAAAATCATTACGTTGGAACACATTTCCATTGCAAGTAACACCAAGCTGCTCATCTGATTCGCACAAGCATCTCGATTTCTCTTGAAACAGGACCAGATGCAACCCCCCCCAACTTCCCTCACGCCCCCGTGGCACTGAGCAAGCATGGGGGCCGTCGGGTTCGATTTAGCTCTCTGTTATTTACACAAAATATTGAAAAGCAACACTCGGCACTCCAAATGGCATGTCAGCTCAGCTTCGAACTTCAAACCTGACTGAAAGAGCTGCCCACCACTCTCATTCTTGGAAGTCTGTCTAAATGCAACACTTAGACTTAAAAGGCACAGGGAGAAGGGGTAAGATACGGTTTTGGACACGTAAACGAGAGCATGGAACATTTAAAGAATTAAAAGGGCTGGGGAAAACCAGCAGCAACAATGGCAGTACAGAATCGTGAATGACGTATGAGGTTATCGGAGCCAATAAAAAGAAAACAGACAGAAAAAAGGTATACGGAACTTATACCTTTACACGTTCTCGAAAGAAAACGCGCTGTTCTTAGACCCTGCGTATACAGTCATATATTCAGTATAGTATGGGCTTGTTTTTCTCTGAAGCACCATTTATTCCACACCTGTAAAAGCTGAGTGGCAGTAGCTCTCTGCTCGGGGTTCTTCACCAAACACTTCTTCACAAAATCCGTGAACTCGTCCGTCCAGAGCTCCGGCTTCCGGAATGTGGGAGGAGGGTTCGTGGGAATCATGAAAATGGCCTGGCGGAGGAAAATTAAGGAGGGGGGGGTGGGGAGGGGGAGAGAGAGAGAGAGGGGTGGTGAAACACATAAAAAAGGGAAGAAATCAATAGTCATCCGAGCCTCAGGTCCGGGTAAATAAACAAATCCCTTGATTCTATCGGACTGTAAATCTAGTGAACAAATTTGAACTGGTCTAGGATTTCTACCGTGACTGAGGTCCAGGAAACGGGTCCATCTGCTACCAATGTAGCAACTTCCCATTAAATTTCCTCCCTGCAAACTGTACCTCGCAGAGTACTCCACTCTTTATTTTATCTTATACTTGTTAAAAGTCCCTAGAGGAGGTTGTTTTCCTCCACCTCTTATCCTTTTCATATTGCACTGGATGTATCATCATTTACCAGATAAGCCCCTGTACTGTGCGGTGCCAGAACCCCTTTGCAATGTAGTTCTGTAAAATCTTAACTTACAAACTGCAAAGGTCAAAATCAGTCCAGGTACAGCTAGTGTCAAGTCGAATGATAAAGAAGTTGATAAAGAGCTGCTTGACCTTGGAATTACCCATTAAAGCCATAAAATATAACTGCATTCTCAGGTCTTGATAAATAAAAGGAAATAACACTGCAAACCAGCAGTAAAAACTTAATAAAAATTACAAATAACAGTGCACTAATCTCAAATATACAAACATTAACAATAAAAAAGGATTTCAATATGCCCTTTTACAAAAAAAATGTATGTTTTTGCACTGTACTACTAAGAGAACTGCTTAAACTTTTTCTTGCTTTACAACAATTTGTCTTTGTGATCAGGCAAGGAAGGTGAATAAGCAGAATGGATTATCCATTCACTGTAACTGCATGGAGTCTGAAACTCAGTGAGCTCACCCAGCTCTTTATGGAATCCTGTCAGATGTTTTGCTGTAGCTTTGAGTTTGCCTATTCCGGTGGGGTTTCGATTTGTCCATCAAGTAAAACGTAGCTCAACGCGATTTAAATCCAGAAATGTACAGACTCGGCCAGTCCCCTTAGCTGGGCAAAGCATCTTGAATGTCAACACATGGACTCTGGTGAGCTCCTTCAAAGTTTCATGCCATTGGTGCCTCACAGGAATAAGCAAGCCAATGCTGACTTTTACATTCTTAAAAATGTACTTAAATGAGAATTTATCCCAGCACTTACGGTTACAATCAATAGGTTGAACACAAAATATATTTTCGTACTTGAGCGTGATGAAATCAAAGCCTGGAATTAATAAATTCCCAAAATAAAACGGTGTATTGCACTCAGTCACACAAACCTCATGAGCACAAGTTGCCTGGCTGCAAAAGCCAAAATAACAGTTTTAATGTTACTGTCCTAATACGTTTGGAAAGCAAAGCAGTTGTCAGTAAATATTTCACTTTTACATGATGTAGCCAGGTCCATTCGTCTTAAGCTGCTCATCACAAACTCATGTTAGCTACGCCTGTAGAAAGATATTAATGCCCACAGAACAAAATTGACAGGCCAGCTGTCCCTAAATCTGTGCACCACAAATTGGAGAGAGATGTGTATCGCCAATATCTTTTGGACTATTACTATGGAACAAATTTTTTTGATTAGTAAAGGTTATATCAGACCATCTCCAAAATACAGTTTTTCCCCAACATCTTAAAAACTCAAGAACCCCCGAGCGACCACAAAGAGATCAACAATATTCTGTTTATTTTGTTTGGTGCGTAAAAGAAAAACACTGTCAAACCAAGTGTAGATAGTTTATTATTAGGTCAAATCTTAAGTGTAATTCCTTAAACAGAATGTCATGACATCTGGAAACTGTTAAAACAAAAAGAAGTTACAAGACATTCTGAAATCCTGGATCTCTATTCAGTAGTCTTAATACATTTCAGAACTTAAAGAATTCTAGTCATCTCATTCTTGCGAGATGAAAGAGGGCTGTGTCACAAATAGCAAAGCATCCAAATTACTTAACTAATCAGTTCTCATTATAGACAATGTCTAGCCAGAACACAAACAAAAGAAAACACCGCTCACAGCCTGATAAGTTCTGACAACTGAAGAGCACTGGCATGCTGTATAACATCGTATAATCTTGGGTCCTATCATTTTGTACATTTCTTTACATAAAAGAAAGGCATAAAAATAACGCTTAGAAAACAAAAGGCCCAGCTTCAAAAAGCTTGAACAAAGAGGTTTGTTCTCTGTTTTTATTGCAGACAAGAAGGCTTATTTGAGGTAAAATCCGTTGGGTCATGAGAATAACAAAATCACTACCAATAAATTAGGAACATCTGACCCACCTTACTTGATTGACTGTCAATCCCTCATCATGCTGCTCAAAACTGAATCAACCTCCTCAGCATTTAAACACTCGTCATCGCTGGCTTTGCATCATGGGCCAGGATGACGGTCTTTAGTAAACCCAAACGCAACTGATCAGCTCAATACAGGATCCATATGCTCTCTGGAAGTTTCAGAAGGTGTGATCTTGGAAAACATCTGGCTGTGTGCTGCACAATCAGGTCATGGTGAATTCTTTGAAGCTCTTGTTTCACATCCCCAACTGTTCCAGCAGGTACCTTCGCGGTAATTATTTATCCTTCTGCCTTGGTCAAGGAGTACTGATGTTTCATTGTCTCTTTTGATTTTTCCATAGATCCAGATGCTGCTTCCGTCTTTCGATTACCTTGGCTAAGTTGAGGGAAGAGGAGCTTCTTTGGTAGACTGGACTCTTAATAATGTCATGACACAACCAGCCCAACTGAGCTGATGGTGAAACTTACAGGTAGGGAACAAAAAAAAAGGAGACACCTGCATAAATTGGGGACACCAACTATACTGAAAGCAAAGGCTTCCACACAGGTGTGGCTCATGAGTTAATTAAGCAAGTAACATCCCAGAAATGTTGTCCGCAAGGAACTCCAAAGGAAAGACATCATCACAAAAGTGCAACGCATACTCAAGGATCACAAGATCTTTGCATTCACTGAAAAGTACAAGAAAAAAACGTGTAAGCTAAATTTGCAGCACAAGGAAAATGGGTGAGCAACTGCAGATTTCAAGTTAAAGCTTGAGCAGTAATTTCAATCAATAACAGGCTGCTGGAACTCCACAGAGCAAGATACCATTGTTGGGCTACAGAGCACAAACTACTCATATCACCCAGCAGAGCAGATTCCAAGACCAGAGAGCTTCGGCAATATACTGCCAAGAAGTAAAGATATGCCACGTGGTCAGATTCGTCATGCATTCAATGTAATCATCCATCATCCTTTAACCTTTACTTCGGCCAACTAATGATCACACGTGAGCAAACCCACAGCACAGTTTCCAACAGTGACAGGTTCTTGTGTTGTGGAAAACATGTTCCTGGTACAGTTTGGGTACACTCATTCCCTTAGAAGGCGAGGTCAGTGCTAATCCCTTTTTTAGGGAAACTGAGTGATCATCTTCACCCCCAGTTGCAGCATTTCTTTCCCACCTGTGGGGTATCTTCCGGTACGACAAGGCCCCACACAGACCGTGTGGCCACCCAATATTTTGATGAGCATGACACTGATGTACAACTAAAACCGAGATCTGTTCAATATTTTACCCTGGCAAAAGACAAGACGTACATTATGTAATGCTTGTCGGTGGATCACAGCTTTACAAACATCACTGGACCACGGTGCATGTTCAGTGTTAGTCAAGGTTTAAAATACCTGGAATGCTGTCAGTCCAGATTCATGGGAAAGGCTATCTGAATGTAAAGCAATATAGGTAAAAACAGAAGTGCCATATTCTTACCAAAATGGGAAAAGGTTAATGTTCTATTTCTAGTGACCTTTGAGTTTCTAAGCCACATCCTTATCTTTTTAGATAATCTGACAGTACTTACAGTCCCCTGCAAGGCGGTAGCTATTTGGAGCAAAGATAATGAGTCATGTCTCTGTAATAGAGATTTCTGACACTTCCATTTAGTGCCAGGGTTGAACATGCAAGCGGATAATATAAACCATAAATGTAACCTTTATCCTAAGAAGTCAAGGTGAAATGATTAAATGGTAGTTATTACCAAAGTGATTAAAAAATACATCTCATAACTGTGTAACTGTATGTGAGCACAAAACATAAATATTAGAGTTGCGATTGCTGGTCTAAGTGAGATCATATAGATTTAGGAATCTTTATTTTAAAGGAAAAAAATATGAAATGCACTTTCCAATTTCTCAAACAGAAATATTTAACATCTACTGTGTGGCAGGGAGAAGCAACTATGACTTTATCTACTAATGCAATCTGATGCCTTAACTAGTAAGTATTAAACTGCATGTTTTTCCAGTCAGCAGTTCCTCAATCGAATTACAGGTGTTGCACCAGCCAGAACACTGGAGACCGTCGTATCAAAGCTCCCACCTCCCTCACACTTTATCTGTACAAAACCGCGATTGCACTTGGTGAATCTCCAAACTGGCAAAGGCCAGTAGTTTTCTGCACCACCTGCAGTACCCTTCGCCTTATCATCAACATCGCCGCCCCAGCCGCTCGGCAGAAAGGACAACTTGCACAACTCCACCCCCACCTCGGTTTCGGGTCAGCGCGGAGGAGACGGACGGACAGGCGCATTGCGAAACGCGGAAGTGAACAGAAAGCGGCGCGGCAGTCGAGGGAGGCAAGGCGCCATGGCGGTCAACGTGTGGTCCCGGGTTCGATTCCACATTCTTCTCATGGTCGCGTGGGTTTAACTGGGTGCTCCAGACCCACAGACTCAAGACATTCAGCCTAGGATAAGCGCAGCTTCTACACTGTCCCCCATGTGCATGAGTGAGAATGCGCAAGCACATTCAGCTCGCAATGAACTGGCATCCCACCCAGGGTATAGCCTGCCTTGAGCCCGCCACCAGCCTGGACTGGACGAAGCACTAACTGAAAACAGACAGACAGTGTAACAGCCTTCAATGAGATACAGAAGGCCGGGCACTGACAGGCTGCTTTGCTAAAAAGCACGTCCTCCAAATATTGCCTTATTAATAT